AAGCATCTGGCTCCTTGCTTCGGATCAGCGCGGTGCGCCGGCCATGGCGGCCATTGGAGGGTGAACCAACGGCAAAGGAAGACCTTTCTCTGTCTCTCTCTCTCTCTCACTGTCCACTCTGCCTGTCAAAGAAAAAAAAAAAAAGAAATGTGTGGCTTTGCAGTGCATCTGTGTATCTGAATCACTGGCTATACATGCTTCTAAGTGCAGATTTTTATGAAGTGGAGGAGGCCAGGGTCCTCCTACCTTGTCACTGGCAGCCTTTTTGGGGTTGTGTTGCTTCCCAGCCTTTAAGTCTGAGCCGCAGATTCATTTGATCTTGTCAATTTAGGACTCCTTCATTCTGCAGAAGTTCTGAGGTAGTGAGATTATGTGGGAAAGCCCTGTAAAGTGTAGATGCCGAGCGAGTGAAAGCTGAAAGCTTACTAAGAATTGAGAGCTTAGTAGAACAGCGTTAATAATTTTAGTAGGCTCCTGCAGGGAGGCTGGATGGAGCTTCACAGCTTCTAGCTGTGACCCGTAGAAGCAAACCATGTTCTCCATCATTTTCTTCTTTCTACCTGTCTCAGATCTTTTGTTCCCATTACCTTGTTTTAATCAGAATGATTGGTTAAATGGAGGAACCTCAGATAGGCAGTCCATTAAGTACACCCTTTTTACAGGTTGATCTTTTTGCTAACAGTGTTTTTTATACATTTTCTGTTAAATTACCTTTAAAAAGCGTTTCTATTTATTTGAAGAACAGAGAGAAAGGGAGGGAGGGAAAGATTTGGCTCGTCTCCCAACCACTAATTTCACTCCCCAGAAGCCTGCAATGGCCAGGACTGGGGCTAAGCCAGGAGCCAGGAACTCAGTCTGAGACTCCCACAGGGGAGGCAGCGACAGCAGTACCCGAGCTATCACCTGCTGCCTCCCGGGGTGCACATTACTAGGAAGTTGGAATTGGACGCAGGGCCAGGCTTGAGCCAGGCGCCTCAGCACGGGACGCAGGTGTCCTGAGCAGCACCTTAACTGCTGTGCCAGGCACCACCTCTGTTTGCCCCTGTTTTACTTTTCTGCTCTATCACACATTTAAGATTTGAAACATTGAAATTATTTCTTACATATTCATAAAATGTTCAGGAAATAATTTTGATCATTAATTGATTTTTTTAAAAGATTTATTTATTTGAAAGAGTTACACAGAGAAAGAAGGAGAGGCAAAGAGAGAGAGATGTCTTCCATCCACTGGTTCACTCCCCAATTAGCTGCAACAGCCAGAGCTGTGCCAATCTGAAATCAGGAGCCAGGAGCTTTTTCCAGGTCTCCAACACGGGTGCAGGGGTCCAAGGACTTGGACCATCCTCCACTGCTTTTCCAGGCCATAGCAGAGAGCTGGATCAGAAGTGGAGCAGCCAAGACTCCCATCTGGCACCCATATGGGATGCTGGCACTGCAGGTGGCAGCTTTACCCAATACGCCACAGCACCGGCCCCTTGATTTTTAAAAATATTAGATGTGGGGTAGGTATTCTACACAATAGCTGTGGTGTCCACATCCCATATTAAGAATGTCTGGGTTGGGCCGGCGCCGTGGCTCAATAGGCTAATCCTCCGCCTGTGGCGCCGGCACACCGGGTTCTGGTCCCGGTTGGGGCGCCGGATTCTGTCCCGGTTGCCCCTCTTCCAGGCCAGCTCTCTGCTGTGGCCCGGGAGTACAGTGGAGGATGGCCCGGGTAATTGGGCCCTGCACCCCATGGGAGACCAGGAGAAGTACCTGGCTCCTGCCATCGGATCGGCGCGGTGCGCCGGCTGCAGTGCGCCGGCTGAGGCGGCCATTGGAGGGTGAACCAACGGCAAAGGAGGACCTTCCTCTCTGTCTCTCTCTCTCTCACTGTCCACTCTGCCTGTCAAAAAAAAAAAAAGAATGTCTGGGTTGGGCCGGTGCCACGGCTCACTAGGCTAATCCTCCGCCTGCGGCACTGGCACACCGGGTTCTAGTCCCAGTTGGGGTGCCAGATTCTTTCCTGGTTGCTACTCTTTCAGTACAGCTCTCTGCTGTGGCCCAGGAAGGCAGTGAAGGATGGCCCAGGTCCTTGGGCCCTGCACCCACATGGGAAACCAGGAGGAAGTACCTGGCTCTTGGCTTTGGATAGGCGCAGCGCACCGGCCATAGTGGCCATTTGGGGGGTGACCAACGGAAAAGGAAGACCTTTCTCTCTGTCTCTCTCTCACTCTCTCTCACTGTCTAACTCTGCCTGTCAAAAAAAAAGAATGTCTGGGTTGACTCCTGGCTTTATTCCTGACTCAGGCTTCCTAATGCTGCGTGGCGTGGGAGGCAGCAGTTAGTGGCCCAGATATTTGGGTCCTGTCACCCATGTGGGAGACCCAGATTGAATTCCTGTCTCCTGGCTTGGCCCTGACAGTTGTGGATATTTGGGGAGTGATTCATCAAATGGGAGACCTGTCTCTCTTTCTGCCTTTCAAATATATAATAGGGCCCTGCGCTGTGTTACAGCGGGTTAACGCCCTGGCCTGAAGCGCCGGCATCCCATATGGGCGCTAGTTCGAGACCATAGCATAGCAGCCGCTTACTTCCGATCAGCTCTCTGCTATGGTCTGGGAAAGCAGTAGAAGATGTCCTAAGTGCTTGGGCCCTGCATCCACGTGGGAGACTGGAAGAAGCTCCTGGCTCCTGGCTCCTGGCTCCTGGCTTCGGATCGGTGCAGCTCTGGATGTTGCGGCCATCTGGGCAGTGAACCAGCAGATGGAAGATCTCTCTCTCTCTCTCTCTCTCTCTCTCTCTCTCTCTGCCTTTCCTTCTCTCTCTGTGTAACTCTGACTTTCAAGTAAATAAATAATTTAAAAAAATATGGTAAATAAATAATTTAAAAAATTAGATACTAGAATTCTTCTGCTTGTTTTATGCACATATGTGTATTAAGCATAAATTCAAAGGTACTTTTAACAGTTCATGAAAATAAATTTATTTTAGTACAACAAATTTCTGCATGAAAGGAATCTTCAAAAAGTTCTTGAAAATGTGTATTATGAGGAAACTGCAACTACATTTCAAAAATTTTTTCCAACAAAATAAGCTAATTTCTTAAAAGTATGAAAGACAGAGTTAGAGAGGGAGGCAGCACCAGAGGCTGAGGCAGAGACAATAAGAGACAGAAATCTTTCATCTTGGTTCACTCCCCAAATGGCTGCAATGGCTGGAGCTGGGCCAATCTGAAGCCAGGAGCCAGGAGCTTCTTCCAGGTCTGTCACATTAATTCTCCACGACTTGAGCTGGTTTCCATAAGGGCTGCAGTATCCTGCTTTGCCACAGTGCCAGCCGCTAAGCTAATCTTTTTTTTTTGGACAGGTAGAGTTATAGACCTAGAGAGAGACAGGGAAGACAGAGAGAAAGGTCTTCCCTCCATTGGTTCACTCTCCAAATGGCCGCTATGGCCTGTGCTGCGCTGATCCGAAGCCAGGAGCCAGGTGCTTCCTCCTGGTCTCCCATGCAGGTGCAGGGCCCAAGCACTTGGGCCGTCCTCCACTGTACTCCCGGGCCACAGCAGAGAATTGGACTGGAAGAGGGGCAACCGGGACTAGAACCCGGCGCCGACATGGGATGCTGGCACCACAGGCAGAGGATTAGCCTAGTGAGCCACGGTGCTGGCCCTCCCCAAGCTAATCTTTTAATTCTGTTTTTCCTTAAAATTTTTAAGTATTCTCACATAAAATATAACCAAAATTATTAAACACTTGACATTTAATATCATTTAAATGTTAGATGGGTGAATTTATTAGCCCAGATACTAGTGTGAATTCCTTGACTATCTCTTAGCAGTTTTGTGTCTCTTGTTCTCCATACCTAGAGGAGTGTTCCTCAAGTCCCAGGTACTGCTGTGTGTATGTGTTGTGTATGTCACTTGAATAAGTTATCAACACGACTCTTAAAGTTCTGCATCTTTATATATGCACATCTGTTAGAATTTTCTTGGATTATTACTAACTAGCACGGTCATTGGAAAATAATCTTCATCACCACACAGCCGTTTGCTTATTTATACAACTCATTTTCCTATCATGGGCCTGGGTTGTGGCATCATGGATTAAGCTACCACCTGCAATGTCATTACCCGTATGGGTTGTGGTTTGAGTCCCTGCCGCTCTACTTCCTGTCCAGCTTCCTGCTAATGTGCCTTGGAAAGCAGCAGAAGAGAACCCATGTATTTGGGCCCCTATGCCCATGTGGGAGACTCAGATAAAGCTCTTGGCTCCTGGCTTCAGCCTGGCCTAGCCTTGGGCTGTTGTGGCCATTTAGGGAGTGAACCAGCAGATGAAAGATTCTCTCTCTCTGTCTCTCTCTCTCTAACTCTATCTCATCAAATAAATAAAATCCTTTTTTTTAAAAAAATCTGTCATTCCTTTGATGCTATGTTTAATAATACTAGCTAATATTTACATACTTGTCTTGTGAACCAGGTACTGTTCTAGGCAATTAATATATGTTGTTAATTTGCCTAATCCTTATGGCTTTGATCTTCACTTTGCAAGTGAAGAAACTGAGTCAGAGGTTAAATTACTCGCCCAAGGTCATATGTGGTCAGTGTTTGATTGCACACGGTGTGCATTTTGATTACCCTGCATAACTAATGAAACACAAGCAGTACACATTTCTCTACTAGAACACTGTAGTATTATAAAGGCTGATTGAGGGGGAAGGGAGAGGCAGCCCCTGCATGAACGTGTATGACTGAAACAACCACTGTTTGATCGGCTATGATTTGAGTTGCTCTTTAGACCTCCTTTATGACCCCTGCCTCCCCCGATACAAGTTCCTGGTGGCTGTACCTCCAGTCTGCCTCATTTATGTTGCTATTCCTGTTTTGTTACTCAGATGAAGGTATCACATAACAGATGTATTCTCCAGGTTATTTTTGTGCTATTATTTCCATCTGGGAAATATTGTTCTGTGTGTTAGTATGCAAGAATTAACTCTGCATATTTTATTTCATCTCTTCACAGTACAGCGCTGTGGATACCAATCCTCTCTCTCTGTATATCATGCACCCATTTTGGAACACTGTAGTAAAGGTAAGGTGGCTTATAGATGTGCCCTCGTTTCATTAAGTTTTTAAGTATTTTCACCTGTTTTGTGAGTGTTGCCGGCTGCAGCTCACAACTGAAGGTGTCTGGAAATGCAGCCTTTCCTTCCCCTGAGGCCCATGCCTTTGAGTTACCTCATGGCTGAGGCTTATCATTTCTGTAATAACTTTTTAAATGTAAAGTTAGGATTATAAAATCTTGTTGATTTTTAAAATTACCTAAAATGCAGAGGACATATAGAAGAAAGAAATGCCTATTTCTATCAACTGAAGATTATGGTTTACACTTTAACATTTGTAACTCCTACATATGGTCTTGCACATTTTTTTGTTTTCATTATGAGTTAAATTTGTATATTGTATATGTGGAATGGAGATTCCTCTAATTTTTTTTATATGTTTTGAAAAAATAGGTATTTCCTACTTGGCTGGCTCCCAATCTTATAACCTTTTCTGGCTTTTTGCTGGTTGTATTCAATTTTCTGCTTATGGCCTACTTTGATCCCGACTTCTATGCTTCAGGTAAGAATTCGGGATTGCTTTAATACAAAACTGTGAACGTCAGAAGAATGAGATGTGGTTGCTTATTTTCTGATTCTGTTAAGATGATTGTGGTTCTGAAAAGTTTTGGATATTCAGGTAGTATGTAGGATATCAGAATTGTATAGGAAGTTGTATTTTCACTATGCCATATATATTTCTTTTCTTTCTTTTTTTTTTTTTTTAAGATTTATTAATTTATTTGAAAGTCAGAGTTACGCAGAGAGGGAGAGAGGTCTTCCATCTGCTGGTTCACTCCCCAATTGACCCCAGTGGCCGGAGCTGCGCCAATCTGAAGCCAGGAGCTTCTTCTGGGTCTACCGCGTGGGTGCAGGGGCCCAAGGACTTGGGCCATCTTCTGCTTTCCCAGGTTTAGCAGAGAGTTGGATCGGAAGTGGAGCTGCCGGGACTCTAAATGGTACCCATATGGGATGCTGGCATTGCAGGCGGCGGCTTTACCTGCTACGCCATAGCACCGGCCCCTAATGCTGTATATGTTTTCGTCAAGTTCTACCAATTCCAGGAATGTCCTTTCCTTTTTTGTAGTCTTGAAAGAAAAGTCCCCTTTCTTCTAAAAAGCATGCGATCCCTCCTCATCCCTCTACTCGGCCTTCCTGCTTGCCTTGGATGACACCCACTTTCTTCTTAGACCTTAAATATCTATCAACAGATGTCTGGGCTGCTTCTGGGAAAGGAAGGGACGGAGCGCTTTTGGAATGAGAGTTTACCTGCTCCCACCCTCTGCTCCAATATCTGACACCTGTCCCTCTCTTTACTCTGTCCCATACCCAACTTCTGCACCAGGCCCTGGGAGACAGTCTGGATTATGTTTGGGATCGGGGGATAATGGAAGAGAGAGTTCAGTTTTACTGCTCAGTCAGTGGATTGAAAAGAATTCCAATTAGAAAGACAGAGGTAGAGGAGTACCTTTTGCCTTCTAAGAATTTCTTTTCTAACAGGAATGCTTCTCAGTGGTGTGTCAGGAGTGGTCGTTCATCTGTGCTGAGGGCTCAACAGACTTTTATGACCTGCCTTGTAGAAATTAACATCATTGATGACATTGCTTTTGTAGGAAAATCTGGGGTTTCAAATGCTTACAACTTTGATGTTATAGAAATTTTGAATATTGAGGCTGTATATATACTGAACGTTGGCAAGAAGTTTTAGCTTCTATACATGTAATAAAATGGTAATAGAAGTCCTAAATGTCAATTTGGAGGATATGTGAGTAATAGGTGAGATTGAATTTCAGTAAGAACAGTTTGGGTCAAGACTTGAGTGTGTTGGGCTGGTGCCGCGGCTCACTAGGCTAATCCTCCGCCTTGTGGCGCCAGCACACCGGGTTCTAATCTCGGTCGGGGCGCCGGATTCTGTCCCGGTTGCCCCTCTTCCAGGCCAGCTCTCTGCTGTGTGCTGTGGCCCGGGAGTGCAGTGGAGGATGGCCCAAGTCCTTGGGCCCTGCACCCCATGGGAGACCAGGATAAGTACCTGGCTCCTGCCATTGGATCAGCACGGTGCGCCGGCCGCAGCACCAACGGCAAAAGGAAGACCTTTCTCTCTCTCTCTCTCTCTCTCTCACTGTCCACTCTGCCTGTCGAAAACAAAGACAAAAAAAAAAAGAGTGTGCACATTTACTTGAAAATTGTTTACATGCCTAAAATGATTGCATTTAATCTAATTCTTGTCGAGGCTCCATTCTATATTTTCTCACTATATTGTTAATTAACCAAAGACAAGATCTTTGATTTGGATATAGATTACCTCAACTGGATACTTTAGCATCACAATCATCCTGAAATGTCTGTACCTCAGTTTGTCCTGCTTTGATAAAAACACCTGAGAATTTGAATTAAAACAACTGAGGAATAAGGGTTCTGGTGGACTCTGATCAACCAGCAGTGTGACCCTGAATGTATCATTTAACCTCTCCTATCTTGTGTTTCCCAAACATACAGGGACTGCAAAGTTTATTTAGTCCTTCAAGTTCTATGACTTGGGAGAATATATATAACATGTAGATGTATTTAGTACTTAGCTTATTAAATAATGTTTCCTAACAATAGAGAAAACATATTTCTAGTTACAAACATAGACTTTTTAGGGTATCTCTGGGATTTAAAAAAAAAAAGCAATAGATGCTTACTGTTTATGAGGGACTGGGGAGTTACTTCTTTGGTTTTGTCACAGTTTACTGATATATTCTAGCATTTACCTAATTCTGCATGCAAAATATACTGTTAAGAATTTTAATCTCTAATGTACCAAAAGAAACATTTTTTAAAAAAATCTATAGTTGTATGTAATTATGCATGTTTATGGGGTAGAGTTAATGAAATGGAAACATTTATCAGGGTATGTGCTGTGGTCAGACAGTTGTACTTCTGAATTCAACACTGCGCTGCTTTTCCTTTGCAGCACCTGGCCACAAGCATGTGCCTGACTGGGTCTGGATTGTGGTGGGCATCCTCAACTTTATAGCCTACACTCTAGGTAAGAGGTCGCTAGACTCTCCATCTGTGGCTGGGGAATCTTACGCTTTATTCATTTTAACTAGGGTTTGTTGCTATCCTAAATAATAACAAAATGATAAAATGTTTTTGGATGTCTATAAAATACATTGTCATCCATCGTTAGGAATATACAGAATAAGGTAGGAGTTGGCATAATCCTACTTACAGGCCAAGTCTGGCCATTGCCTATTTTTGTAGGAAAAGTATCAAATAATTACAGAATAGTGGGAGAGATCAACAGTAATGTGAGTGGAAGCACAGTAGATGAGGTGATCAGTTCTGAGCTCTGAGTTGCTAGCGAGTGCCTTTGGATTGAGTTTCTTGGCATTTGCATGTGGATATCCAGCAGCATTTCAGTTTCCATGTCTGAACTTGTACTCTGGGATGCACATTTGGTCTAGCAATTAAGGTGACACTTGGGATGCCCACATCCCGTATCCGAGCTCCCGTTTCCAGCTTCCTGCAGAAGGCTACAAGTGAAGGCTCAAGTACTTTGGTCCTTGCTAGCCATGTGCAAGACCTGGATTGAGTTCCAGGGTCCTGGCTGTAGCCTGGCCCAGCCCCAGCTGGTAGAGGCACTTAGGACGCTTCACCGGCAGATGGCGGCTCCCTTCCCCTCATCCTCTCCACATCCTTCCTGTCAGTCTTGGCCTTTCCATCTGACTTCCGTCCTTCTGTTAACACTACCATTCTCTTTAGTTACCTGGATGCAGAACTTTGGAGGTTGTCTTCTTGTCCTTAGGCCTACATCTCATCTCTTGCTGTATTCTGTGATTTTTCCTCCTGTAAAGTCCTTCCTACCTTCACTTTCCATTTCAGTGTAGACCTGCAAGGTAGTGTTCCTCTCCAGCATGCCATTCATTGACATCGGTGAGTCTTCCTGAAGACCAGCTTTCACTTGTGTTCTTCTCTATTCAGGCCTCCCCATGCTCCATGGAGCTTTAATACTGGCTCAGCCTGGCCTTCCAGATTTTTTATGTCACCCTCGTCACACATTGGAGCTTCTAGTTGAACCACGGGGCATTGTCTGGACATACATTGTGCTTTTCTGGTTTGGTATTACTTGCTGATAGCACTCCCTCTTCCTTTATCTCTTCTCTACTGAAATCCAACTCGGACCTTCTGTCCCCACTCAGATTTCACCTCAGTGTTCTTAGCCGAAAGAGAACCCTTTCCTCTCTCTACTCCCTGGGGTCTGTGACATACCACACTTTTTTCACTCCTGGGTTTCATCCCTTTCTCAATTGTAAGCATTCAAAGCACAGAAGCCTCGTTTATTCTAAGATTCTTATAATCTTGACAGCAGCAAGAAGAGTGCATTACACAGTTTCGACAACTTGGATTATTCCGTTCCCTGAGCACCTTGCTATGTGTATTTTCTGAAAACACTTAAAATTCTGGAGGTGGCAGATCTACTGCAGATTTCCATTGTAATTTCAGATGGGATGAAATGGGTGTTATGACTGAGGTACTTTTGGGTCCTATAGCAAGCAGGGGTTAGGTTAATTGTAATGAAAAGCTATTAAATGTTTTCTGGAAGCGTGACTATTTGTGGCTGGTAGAACATCCCAGATGTTAGATTTGGAGGAATTCAGAGTCCAGCTAGAATACTTCTTTTTCAGATCTAAAATTGACAGAGCACATGACAAGATATGATAAAACTTTGACAGATTTAGATTAAGCTTTGACAGATATTTTGGAAGTCTTTGGATTATAGGAATGAAAGGTTGGGTTTTTATACCACTGGCTGGTAAGCTACACTTAGCACTCTAGTGATAGGCTGGTTTGTTTTTACCTGCAGTGTATTAAGATGACCTTGTTCATACTGGTGCTGATGTTGACCTTTTCCTGTGGCATATGTTTTGTTGCAGATGGTGTGGACGGGAAGCAAGCCCGTAGAACCAACTCCAGCACCCCTTTAGGGGAGCTGTTTGACCATGGCCTGGACAGTTGGTCCTGTGTTTATTTTGTTGTAACTGTGTACTCCATCTTTGGACGAGGACCAACTGGTGTCAGTGTTTTTGTTCTTTATCTCCTGCTATGGGTGGTTTTATTTTCTTTCATCCTGTCCCACTGGGAAAAGTACAACACAGGAATTCTTTTCCTGCCGTGGGGATATGACATTAGCCAGGTGGTGAGTATGTATATTCCTTCTTTATTACCCTTGCACTTTTTTGGTTAGAACTGATAAGTGCTTGTCATAAACAATTTTGGATGTTATCTCCTTTTCTTCTAACTTCTTTATGGAAAATTTCAAACATTTACAAAAGTAGGGAGCGTGTTGTAGTGAACCCTTGTGTACCTTTACTTAGCTTCAGCAGTTAGCGACATGTGGCCAGTCTAGTTTCATGTGTACCTCCCCTCAGTCCTCTTCCCACTTATTTTAAGGGAATTTCCTGACATTATGTGATAAATATTTGTTACATATCTCTAAATATATGATAAGGACTCCTTATAAAAATATAATTACAATGCCATTATTATACCAAAAGTTAAACAATTTCATATTACTAAATGTTCATTTGGACTGTTGGCTTTTTTTTTTTTTTTTAAGATTTATATATTTACTTGAAAGGTAGAATTACAGAGAGACAGAGATCAGTCTTCCATCCACCAGGTTCACTCCATAAATGGCTGCAACAGCTGGGGCTGGGACAGGCTGAAACTAGAAGCCAGAACTCCATCCTGGTCTCCTGTGTGGTTGCAGGGGCCCAAGCACTTGAACCATCTTCTGCTGCTTTCCCAGGTCCATTAGCAGGGAACTGGACTAGAAGTAGAGCAGCTGGGACTCAAACCCCTGCCGTAGACGGCAGCTTTATCTGCCATGCCACAGCACCAGCCCCCCAGACCGTTGATTTTCAAATGAAGATATGCATGTATAATTAAATTGTTAGCTTTTTGTCTTTGTCACCAACTTTTTGGTGAGTGGAGAGAATGACTTCTCTGACTTTAGTAGGCTTGCTGTTAACTCTCCCTGCCTTTGAACCCCAGCTTTTTGTGTTGCCATTTTGCCCTTTTGTACCCATACCTCCAGTGAAGAAATCAGAAGTTGGTGGGTTGGGCAAATTGGATGGTTTGATAGCTCAACCAACTCAGGAAGTACCTTTTTTTTTTAAAGCAGAGTTATAAAGAAACAGAGAGGCCGGCACCGCGGCTCACTAGGCTAATCCTCCGCCAGCGGCGCCGGCACACCGGGTTCTAGTCCCGGTCGGGGTGCTGGTTCTGTCCTGGTTGCTCCTCTTCCAATCCAGCTCTCTGCTGTGGCCTGGGAGTGCAGTGGAGGATGGCCCAAGTGCTTGGGCCCTGCACCCCATGGGAGACCAGGAGGAGGCACTTGGCTCCGGGCTTCGGATTGGCACAGCATGCCAGCTGCAGCGTGCCAGCCATGGTGGCCACTTGGGGGGTGAACCAATGGAAAAAGGAAGACCTTTCTCTCTCTCTCTCTCTCTCACTGTCTAACTCTGCCTGTCAAAAATTAAATAAATAAATAAATAAATAGAAACAAAAAAATCAAAGAGAGACAGAGGGCAGAGAGAGTGAAATCTTCTATCCACTGATTTACTCCTTAAATGGCTGCAGTGCTGAAGCCAGGAGCCAGGAGCTTCATCTGGGTCTCCTATGTGGGTGCAGGGGCCCAAACACTTGGACCATCTGCTGCTGCTTTCCCAGGCCATTAGCAGGGAGCTGGATTAGAAATGGAACAGACAGGACTCAAACTGTTGGCCACACGAGATGCTGGTGCTGCAGGCCGGGGCTCTACCCAGCACACCACAGCGCCAGCCCCTGAGGTGCCTTTAATCTGATCCATATGATGGCCAGTTGCTCACATCATCTAAAGCTTAGTTATTTTATGGCATTGTAGGTTAAAAAATTTTTTTTCAAAGTTAGGAAGACTTGCCACATACCAGATTTTAAGCGTACTTCTTACTTTTGGTTCCAGCTGTTTGACTGAGACTTAATGCTGCATTAAGCATTGTTGACTCTCTGGCCCTCACAGCTGTTAATGCCTCTGTATGCTTTTGTCTATGTTTTCCTTCCAGACAATTTCTTTTGTCTACATAGTGACTGCAGTTGTGGGAGTTGAGGCCTGGTATGAACCTTTCCTGTTTAATTTCTTATATAGAGACCTATTCACTGCAATGATTATTGGTAAGAAGCTCCATGTTGAAGCTTGTTTTAACCATCACTTTTATTTTCAAAACCAGTATTTGACTATACCACGCAATAATATCCTCTCCTTCCCAGCAAACAGACAACCCTATCACCTTGTAGGATTTCAGCCTAACCATTAATAATGAAGTTTCTTTTTTGGTGTTTTTGTCTGAGCAACGCTAATTCTAATCAGTGGGAAATAGCAGAATAGATCACACATGCTTTGTAAAGTAACTGTTCAAATTTGTGTAGACTGTTGTAGGCTTTGCATTTAGGTGGACATTTGGTGTGGGTTTTATACTTAACTCAGAGTTAAAGGATTATTAGTTTGTGTGACACAGACTAGATGAAATGGGGAGATTATTTTATACTCACTCCAGACATTAAGCCCCTATTCCTTTCAGATCACCCATCTCCCTTCATATCCTACTGAGCGCTAGTTCAAGGATTTGATGGTGATAACTTGCCTTTCTGATTTTAGCCAAAGGGCAACTGACCAGAGGCAAGTGGTGGTGCAGTGGAGAGAGGTGAAGAGGAAGAGAGGCGAGCCACAGAGAGACAGAGAGAGAGAAGGGGAGAGAGAGAGAGAGAGAGAGAGAGAGAAGGAGAGAGAAAAAGCTGTTTTAAGACATTTTTTAAAATTTTGTCAGGCAGAGTTAGACAGTGAGAGAGAGAGGCAGAGAGAAAGGTCTTCCTTTTTCCGTTGGTTTACCCCCGCAAGTGGCCACTACAGGTGGCACATTGCAGCCGGCACGCTGCGCTGATCCAAAGCCAGGAGCCAGGTGCTTCCTCCTGGTCTCCCATGCGGGTGCAGGGCCCAAGCACTTGGGCCATCCTCCACTGCCTTCCCAGGCCACAGCAGAGAGCTGGACTGGAAGAGGAGCAACCGGGACAGAACCGGCGCCTGACTGGGACTAGAACCCAGGGTGCCGGCACCACAGGTCGAGGATTAGCCTAGTGAGCTGCGGCGCTGGCCAAGACTTTATTTTTAAAGGATTTTCTTATTTATTTAAAAGAGTTCAGGGTAGGAGGAGAGATAGAGATAGAGATAGAGATAGAGATAGAGATAGAGACAGAGACCTTGTATCCTCTAGGTCAGGCCAAAACTAGGATCCAGGAGCTTCATCTGGGTCTTCCACTTGGGTGGCAAGGGGCCAGGCACGTGGGTCATCCTCTGCTGCTTTTCTCAGGCCGTTAGCAGAGAGCTGGATGGGAAGTGGAACAGCTGGGACACAACGTGGCTCCCATATGGGATGCCTGCATTGCAGGTGGTGGCTTTACTTGCTTTGCCACAACACTGGCCCCAGCTATTTGAAGACTTTTTAAACTAAAATTATTCTGCTGGCAAATCTGCTCATTTGTCTTGGCCTTTTTCTAACACCTCAGGTAATTCTGGGTGAATTCATTTCGCCTTGGCTCCACTCTTGTGCTCCCCAGCTTGACATGAAGTAAATGCTAAAAATTCCCGAGAACACTGAAGACTCAGCTGGTCTCCTTCCTTTGCCTCTGAGGTCTTCTCATTTGGTGGACTTGGTTCAGTAGGACCTGGAAGTAGTAGAATAATTCATCTTTTGAATAAGGTTTCTTTTGGGTTCCTGAATTTTCATTTTGTTTTTAGCCACATTTGAAGTAATGTTATCTACTGTTGGTCTTTACCATCATAGCTACATTTATCCTCAAGTCAGATACAGTCACCAGCAGCCCAGAGTAGACAAACTAGAGTTAACATGTTGCATGTTAGTGTGGTATCCAGAAAGTTGCCAGAAGTGTTGCTTTGGAGTTTGAAAGAGAGAAGGATCAGGAATTTAGAGCTCAAAATATCATAAATCAGGGAATTTCAAAGATGCAAAGGACTTTAGAAAGTAGTTTACCCCTCATTGTACACCTGGAATCTAAGGCTCAGAGAGATTATCTGAGTCACCTAAGACTACCTACTGGGACATTGGAGTTGTCTGCTGGGAGCTTGACGGTGAGCTGTGAGAGATCCTGCGGAGCGGGGTGTGAGCACCGTGCAGGGCCCAGGCAGGATCTGTGGGAGGTGGAGCTGCCACTCAGCCTGTGTGAGAGGGCTGAGTCTTGAAGTACTGCGTGTTTTCATGGCTCAGCTGTTATCATCACTCAGATAATAACTCATGATGGTTTAAATATTCTTCCCTTTAGGTTGTGCGTTATGCGTGACTCTTCCAATGAGTTTATTAAACTTTTTCAGGTAAGTATTTTGTTTTTAACAGGGCAAGCAATATGAAAATACTTAACAGTTGTTATTTAGGTGAATTTAAGGATCTGTTTTCCTTATGGAGTCCTAGAATGAGTTGAGGATAACCTGGGGTGACTATGGAGGCCCGTGTGGTCAACTCAGCCACAATACAAGGCTACTAGTTCTTTTGTCATGATTTTGGGCTCGCTAGTCTCCTTATTTGTCATTTTTATGAGTGAATTTATCTATCAGGAGGGTATATTCCTTTTGATAACTTTCATTTTGTTTTATAAATTGATTATCTGTAAGTTTAGTTAGCAGTATCAAACAAATTTCTGAATGTGTATAGGTTAGGACCAAACTGGACACAGAGTGATTCTTTTGCAGTAGCACTTAGTTCTCTAGAAGTTCCTGCTTGGTCAGTTGTCGGAGAGTGCTGGAGGTGTTCGGCTATGCAGCGGGTTGTCGGCATGTCCTTTCCTAAGGCACCCCTGAAATGATTCAATGACCCTGCTGGGCCGGCTTTGTGACATAGCAGCTGAAGCCACTGCCTACAATGCTGGTATCCCATATGGGTGCAGAGGTTCATGTTCCAGCTTCTCCACTCTCAGTCCAGCTCCCTACTAATGGTCTGAGAAAAGCAGTGGAAAATAGTCCAAGTCCTTGGGCTCCTGCACCCACGGATGAAGCTCTTGGCTCCTGGCTTTAACCTAGCCCATCTGGCCTGTTGTGGCCATCTGGGGAGTGAACCAGTATATAGGTTTCTCCTCTGCTTTTCAAATAAATAAATAAATCTTAAAAAAAAAAAAAAGATTTCTCTCTTTGTCTTTTTCTCTCTGTGGCTTTCAAAAAATTATAAATCTTTAACAAATAAATAAAATTAAAAGCTATTCCTAATCTTAGTTCTCCAACAGTTTTATGTATTTTCCATACTGCTAAAATGAACTCTGAGCTAAGGGGTGATTGAAATATTCCCTAACTTCAACAACAACAAAAAGTTCCTGCCTGCGTGTGGGAGAAGGGAGCTGCCCTGGTAGAGTTTCTGTCTCTGCACTGTGCACCTACCCCCCCTTACTCAGCCGCACTCCATTTATGCTGTGTCTTGAATACATTTTGTTCCTTCCATCATCAGTAATTTTGCTCCCACTGTCCACCCTGGTCAAAGCACTTTTGTATTTGTCCTTCATCCTTCAGTTGTCAGTCTGCCTTGCAGAACCCTTACCCATGTTAAACCAAGCTCTGTGAATCTTCCCTATTTATTGCATGTGGCAGTCATTTATAGAAGCCATAAAAGCGTTTATAGATTTACAGAAACTGAAAGCTGTGCGATTATTTGAATCATTTCCTCCTCATCTTATAATGAGGTTCTGATTGGGCAACATACTGCCCAAGGTGATATAAGCGTTGACAGAACCAAGACTAGAATTTCAGGCTCTATTCAGATGGAAGAAATCTATTGGATTCCTCCCGTGTGCCCAGAGACACCAGGATGTGCTGTGGGCAGCCTCATCTCAGAACCTCTGGGTGAGTTCTCTCTCACTCTAGGTTCTGTATTGCTTTGTTCAGAGTAGTACGTTGAGGTCCTTTTCTGGTCTTTCAGGTTCATTTTACCCTATTGGACTGTCTCATAGAGCAAAGACCAAGTTTTATTTGTCTTTACATTAAAAAATACTTTTATTATTTTTTAATTATTTGGGAGACAGGATACAAAAAGAGAATGCCCCATCTACTGGTTTACATATTTACTTTGCAAATGACTGCAATGGCTGGGGCCCGCTGGGAGCTGGGATCTCAATCCAGGTCTCCCATGTGGGTGGCAGGGACCCAACTACTTGTTTCATTGCAGTCTTCAAGGTTCTGCATTAGTGGGAAGCTGGGATCAGGAGTGAAGCCAGGACTCGAACCTAGGTATTCCGCTGTGGGAGTCTTCACTGCTAAGCCATACGCCTGCCCGTCTTTACATATTTAACACAGACTCGATAGTTAGGAGTCAGAAGACAATGACTAATCCTGGCCCTGCCTCTGGGGTACAAGATGTATGTAGCTGTTTATTTTATATTTGTTATTTATAGAGATATACACACCTGGGGAGGGAGCATCACTGCGCAAGGCAGGGCTGAAGCTGGGAGCCTGGGACTCAGTACAGGTCTCCCATGTGGGTGTTCACGACCCAGTTACTTGAGCCGTCACTGTTGGCATTGGCAGGAAGCCTGATACCAAGCCCAGGTACTCTGATGTGAAACCTGAGTGTCTTAATCCTTAGGCTACATGTCCACCCCAAGTTATGAAAATGTAAATTTTGGTATCCTCAATTTATCCTTTTCTGCAAAATGAGATTCATAATGTTGATTCTGTCTTTGCCATAGGATTATTGTGAATATAAAGTGAGAATAAGAGGCAAAACACCTTGGAAACTATGAAATACTATGTAATGTTTGATAGGTAATAATCTGTTACTTGATCTTTTTTTTTTCAGAAGCTATAAAAACAACACCTTGAAACACAATTCTGTATACGAAGCTATGGTTCCCTTCTTTTCTCCATGTTTGCTATTCATTTTGTCTACAGCATGGATCCTCAGATCACCTTCAGATATTTTAGAGCTACATCCCAGAATTTTCTACTTTATGGTTGGAACAGCCTTTGCTAACATCACAGTAAGATGTTTTTAAAAGTTTATCTTCATTTATTTGGAAGGTGGTTGTGGGAACACATAGAGAGATTGAGAGATCTTCCATATGCCAGTTCACTCCCCAAATGCCCACAACAGCTGAGGGTGGGCCAGACCGAAGTTGGGAGCCAGGAACTGCATCTAGGTCTTACATTTGGGTGTCAAGAACCTAAGTAGTTGAGGCATTACCTGCTGCCCCTCAGGGCACGTATCAGGGGGAAGCTGGGTTGGGAGCACTTGTGGGCTCAAACTCAAGCACTCTGATATGGGATACAGGTGTCCCAAGTGGTGCCTTAACCAGCTGTACAATGTCTGCCCCAAGATTTAAAAAAAATCATAATTTATGGATTATGTGATAGGATTTGATAATTTCTTACATGGTATTTGAATAAGCAACATTTAAAGATACCTTATATTAGAAATTTGAAAGAATAATCTCAACATACTAAAAATTATTTTGCCCTTTGAAGCCAATTTTTGGATAATACGGTAATATTTTGGAACCATGGCATACTTACATTTTATGTTATTGCCTATTGAAGAATTCATGGAATACATGAAAGATTGCCTTTAGACGGAATATTAATAACTGTCACTGAAATGGCAGCAGACCTAATGAGTAACTTAGGGAACTTCACAGAAAGTTTTGAGAGAAAACATACACTTTTTTTTTCTTTAATTTATTTATTTGAAAGTCAGAGTTAGACAGAGAGAGGAGGAGAGGCAGAGAGAGAAAGGTCTTCCATCTGTCGATTCACTCCCCAGTTGACCACAACAGCTAGAGCTGCACTGATCCGAAGCCAAGAGCTTCTTCCTGGTCTCCCACGCGGATGCAGGGGCCCAAGGACATGGGCCATCTTCTCCTGCTTTCCCAGGCCACAGCAGAGAGCTGGATTGGAAGTAGAGCAGCTGGGTCTTGAACCGGCACCCTTATGGGATGCCGGTACTGCAGGTGGCGGCTTAACCCACTACGCCACAGCGCCAGCCTCACATACACTGTCTTTTTAAACTCAACTGCTTTTTAAAATTGAGAGCAGGGAATAAAAAAACTTTGTAAAAAAGGTGTCTCTGAAAGAATAAAACTATTGGAAGAGGATATTGAAAATAAAGAGAATTTGAGATGTTTATTATGGCAGTTGTTGGGAAGGGCCCTGGCTAGGCTTGAGGAAGAACTCGGAGATAAAGGACAGCAGGAAAGCAAGATTTCTTTAAAGAGAAAGTGCACACCCAGGAGGGAGTGCTGGCAACCCACAGGGGAGAGTGATGCAATTAAAGGTCTGGGTTGTCTTTATAAGATATGGAATGGTGCCTGAGGGAGGGCCTCATTGAATATTCAAAGAAGGCAGTTTGGGGTGGGGCTTGGGTACTACTTATTTCCCTGCCCCTTTTTTAGAAATCTTGAAAGTGTCATGGTGTCAGGTACTTGATGGGAGTGGGTGTGCCAGTCACGGTAGTGTCATTAGTGCAGGCACCCCGTCTGTATCCATGTTGGGTATTTCTAGCTGGTGCAACCCTGGCAGCTGCATCTGCGTAGAAGAGAGTGGGGTTTGGGTGCTGCAGGCAGAGCTCAATTCCTCTCTGCTCACTGCCTTCCTGTCTACATCAGTATGACGAAATTGGAGGCGGCAATTCCTCATCCCTGCTGTAAAGAAATTTACTTGTGTAGTGGTATAGGAGGCCATGTTGAAAATGTTCTGCACATATAATGGAATCTTAGAATTGGGGGAAATTTACTTTATCTATACTGCTGTTAACCTATAGAAGAATGCCTGATTTAACAGCCTTACTAAATTGTCTTCTGGCCTCTTCTAATACATATTCTGAAGGTTCATGGGTTTGGGGGCAGGGGTAGAAGCCCAGTCTCCCCTACCCTTGTCATTGAGAACCTCTGAACTTAGATGATATAAATGTGTTGGCTCAAGTATGTGAATGCATTTGAAATGTTGGAGTGGCTAATTTTGGAAGTGCACTGCTAATTAAGCTTTCTTTTCTTTTAACTAACTTCAAGTGTCAGCTGATTGTTTGTCAGATGAGCAGTACCCGTTGCCCAACTTTGAATTGGTTGCTGGTTCCTCTCTTCGTGGTTGTCATGGCAGTAAATTTAGGAGTAGCCTCTTACGTTGAGAGCATTCTCCTGTATGCATTAACAGCTGCCTTCACCCTGGCCCACATCCATTATGGAGTACGAGTGGTGAGTAATCTGAAGCAAAACTGGTTCCGTTTGGTTCTTAAAAATAGTGGAAAGGAAGCAAAATAACATTTGAAATTTTTCTCTTTTGAAAAGAGAGTTGTTCACTATAGTGGCTTAGAAGGGTTTTGAGACATTTTTAAAATTTTGGATAAAGGCCAGGTGTGTAATTTCAGATACTGTTTCTCTAAATGAATGTGTTACAACTATAAATGATTTTAAAGCATTATACTTAGTGTGAGGATTTAGTTCTTATTTTAAATAAATATATTTGTAAGCTACTTCCTTGTGAGTAGAATTGTGCATTGTTTTGAGCTAAAATTTTATGGGTAAGGGACTATTAACCCCATTTGTTGATTATCTTTTTCTTCAACAGCTTTATCTTTTGGAGCGTTTTCATTGCTCATTAACATAGTTTGGAAGGAAGCTAAAGATGGTTTTGTATCCCTTCTTCCCATTCCTTGTTCAATTCTATGAGCAATGTAATAAGGGCAGTTAGGTTTTCTGACTGCAGGAAGACTGGCCTTATTGAGGTTTTACATCATTTGTATTCTTTTTTTTTTTTTTTTTTTAATTTATTTATGTGAAAGAGTTACACAGAGAAGGCAAGGCAGAGAGAAAGAGATCTTCCATCTGCTGGTTCACTTCCCAGTTGGCTACAATCGCTGGAGCTGTACCAATCCGAAGCCAAGAGCTTCTTCTGGGTCTCCCATGGGGGTGCATCTTCTACTGCTTTCCCAGGGCATAGCAGAGAGCTGGATTGGAAGTGGAGCAGCCAGGACTCGAACCAGTGCCCATATGGGATGCTGGCACTGCAGGCGGTGGCTTTACCTGTTACGTCACAGCACTGGCCCGCTGTGTTATTTTTGAGCCCTCCTCATAAGCAGAAATGATATGTAAGGGGAAATATCGAAGAAAATGGATTTAAGAAATATTTTGCAACCCTTATTACTCTCCTCTAAAATAAGAGACTAGGGGCTGGCATTGTGGTATAGCAGGTTAAGCTGCCACCTGCAATGCTGACATCCATTAGGAGTGCCAGTTCAGGGCTGGCACTATGGTGCAGCGGGTTAACCCCCTGGCCTGAAGCGCCGGCATCCCAAATGGGCGCCGGTTTGAGACCTCCACTTCTGATCCAGTTCTCTGCTGTGGCCTGGGAAAGCAGTAGAAGATGGCCCAAGTCCTTGGGCCCCTGTACCCACATGGGAGACCCGGAAGAAGCTCCTGGCTCCTGACTTCGGATCTGCACAGTTCCGGTCATTGTGGCCAACCCCCATCTTTTTTTTTTTTTTTTTTTTGGCCATGTCTCCAAATCATTATCTCACAAGGGAGTGAATTCTGTGCACTTTGTTTTAAAAAAGGCAGAGTGATGGGGATAGGGAGTGAAAGAAACAGAGGTTTTCAGTCTGCTGGTTCACTCCCCGAATGCCCCTGAAGCTAATTAAACGAGGCTCCCTGAACTCCATCTGAGTCTCCCACCTGAGTGGCAGGAGCCCAAGCACTTGAGCCACCCTCTGCTCTCCCCAGGATGCATTAGCAGAAAGCTGGATCAGGAGCTGAGGTGCTGAGTCATGAATCAGCACTTTGATATGGGATGAGAGTGTCCCAAGTGGCAGCTTAGCCTGCTGCATCACAGCGCCCACCCCTCTGTGTGCTTTTAAAAAATAATACAGGCGAGTATTTGGCTTAGTAGATAAGCCACCTGTTGGAATGCCCTTGTGTCGTAAGAGTGCCTGGGTTTGAGTCCTGGCTCCACACCCAATTCCAGCTTCCTGTTCATACAGACCCTGGGAGGCAGCTGGTGATGGCTCAAGTAAGAGGTTTCCTGCTATGTACATGAGAGACCTGGATGGAGTCCCAGGCTTCTGGCCTCAACCTGGCCCAGTCCTGGCTGGTGTGGGGATCTTTCTGTCTGTGTCTCTCTCTCTGTGTCTTGCAAGTAAATAACTGAATAAGTGAATGTTTTGAAAAAATAAGGAACATGTTATCATTGTCTCATGTTCTGATTTTCCATAGGTAAAGCAACTGAGCAGTCATTTTCAGATCTACCCCTTCTCACTGAGGAAACCGAACTCAGATTGACTAGGAATGGAAGAAAAGAACATTGCCCTGTAATCTACAGAAAGAAGTACTGTCAATAGATGCTTGTAAATACTTCATCCATCACCATTGAACTAAACTGATCTGCTTGACAGGCGTGGGGTCTCTGTGTGTTTGGTGTTTGGACAGCAGGAATGAAATGTGATCTGAACTTGTGGAATTGTGGACCTACTAACTCCCAGCTTCTTTTATTTTATTTTTTTTTATAAAACCTTGCAACATTTTGGTTAAGCATAACATGCCTTAGGCCAGCAAAATGTTCCTACTGATTTTACCTTTGTGAGTCCATAATGTTTTGGTTCATAGAAAGTTAAAGATGCTTGGTTTTTATTTAAAAAAAAAAAAAAACCTACATTGGCTTAGGAACACTGGTAATGCTCAGCAAGCCACAGTGAGCTTTCAGATCTGGTGTTGGGAATAGGTCTTTGGCTGGGAGCTATCAATAGCCCAGATCTACTGCAGGGCAGAGAATCAACAAACACTCCCAGCAAAAGATGCCAATGATTACAGAACAGAACATAGTTGCCAAATACCGTTTCTCTTTCCATGGAAATGCCTTTTGTCCTCACATGCTAAGAGAGGTTCTCAAGTATTCTGGTTTCCTTTGTTATGGAATAGATCTTGATAAATGGTTTAATTTTCTTTGCAAGAGAAACATTCTTTTGAGACTTGGTAGAGAATGAGTTGTGATTATAGCGCATCCGTGGGCATAGTTCATTGTTTACATGTGACATTTTTACCCCTCAGCTATAGGTTGCTGAGATTTGGTGCCTGTGAGCTGTGAGAGTAGGAACGCCAGTGGCAGGCATGCAGATAATGAACCTGGTAGAGAAATTTAAATTGCAGTTAGGAATCTCTTGAGCCTCACTAGGACCAAAATGAGTTTTCTAATTCAATTTATTCCTCTGTCCTTGCTTCCTCTTGGTCTCTGTCTCCGTTTTGGGGGTGGGGACACTGTTTTTTATTTCATAGAAGATGAAGCAGAGAGAGTCTCTCTTCCCCAACCTTCCCACTTCTGCACTTGAAGAAGCCTTTTGATACAGATGCCTCACTGAGTACGCACTCCCTTTGATCATACTGCAGTGATTTTTGAGGTTTACTGACAACATAAACATCCCTTTAACTTAAATGTGGTTTTATAAGTCACATTTTTTTTCATGAATGTGGATTTTTTTTTTTTGACAGTCTTTTAGTTTGGTGGTGGAGAAATTTACTTGCTGATTTTCTTTTATTTTCTACTGAATGAAGTTTGTGCTTGAATGAAGAGTGTATCTTAAACCCTTTTTTTTTGGACAGGTTGCACTTGGATAAAATAGGCACCACTGTTGATATGTAATTAAATTTATAACCATTATTTATCTATGAATGTGACCATTTGAAAATTTCAGTATAGCATATTTCTTTGTGATTCTAGTATGCTGCTTTGTAAAAAGATAACAGTTATTGATATTTCATTTTTAAAATTCTAATCATTGTTGTCCAGGTTATTAGAGTCAGGGAGCTAGTTCCTAGTTCCATACTCAATAGGAAGATTGTAAAGGCCAAGGTATATTTGGTGACTTTCTCTGAGATAAAAATGAACACTGGAAATAGATGAGAAATTGATGAAGGAAATGTGGATAGCGACTCCGTGTTTTAATGAATTGCTGCATGCAGTCAGGAAGAACCAGGTGAAGGGAACTGTTTTTTGTATGCCTGGCTCTGTGTCATCTATAAAACTGATCTGGATAAAGTGTCAATTTTGGGGGAAAGATACTTCAAGATTTCTAAACTATAATCATTCACTGCTTTGTTGATCTTCTACACAAGAATGAGATTAGTCTGTACTACAAAGAACTGATAAATATTTATAAGAAGACAAATTTGGACCACAGGCCTTCTTCACCTTGTACAGTGTAGTAAAAGAATACCCTTTGCTTCTGCATTAGGGTCCTGTCCTGTGTTCTAGGGGCTCTTTTACTTTAAAATGGGCTCTGCCCTCTTTCTGTTGCGTCACATGAATTTGAAGATTGTTTTGTGCCTCTACTCTATGGCGTTGTTTCCCGATGGTGATCAAGGATGATGCTACAGTCAGTTCGTTGCCCTCGTTAGGTGGACGAAAGCTGCCAGCTGTGGGGGTGTGCGGAACCTGAGCCGTCAAATCTGCCATGTCCTGCCGACCCTCCTGTTTTACAGTCTCTGTCTGGAAAGTTTGTCCTGGAAGCCCAGCTAACACGGGACTTCACGACCAGTCGCTCTGTGCGTTTATATCATGCCAATTAATCTAAGGCTTCCCAAGGATACAAGGTATTTCAAGCTTTCATGCGCTGTCCTGGACAAGTTCACACCCCAAGTTTCTCCCCGCGCACACGGAGCTGCCTTCTGGGGAGCATGTATTGGTCACACACACGTTTTTCTGTACTTTCAGAATCGAGTGCCTTAGCCAGGCTAGAGGTTTGCATTGTTTCTGCTGACCAAAATAACATACATAAGTAAGAGGTTTCTTTTTAAGCTTGTCAAAATTAATTCCCTTGTGTTTGAGGGGGTGGAGAGTTTGGGATGGAAAACCTTGAATACTTGGATAGAGTATGCTAATGCTGCCTTTTGTAATCCTTTAATAATATTCATAAGCTTGGTGCAATTCCAAATGTTCTTTCTCCATAAGTAGATAGTAGATACAGTTTATCTGTTTTGATCTTAAGCATAATAGAGTGAATAACTCCCAAATAAAAAACTAAATATTCTTCCATTTCAGTATGATTAAAATACTTTTAATTCTAGTTTTGAAAAGAAAATTGTTGCCTGCGATGTTATAGTACTGATTTAATACCAGTGTGTCATTTATTCTGATAGGAACTGGGAAGAGGAGTATATGTCTAGAATTAGCCACATTCTGAGTAGATGCCAGGAGAGTATTGATTATGGCCAGAGCCTGGGCGCTGGGGGATATACAAAGGAAAAAGCAGGCCCAGTACCCACTTCACCGCAAGGAGGGACCATGTTAGTGCTCTAGGAATTCCAGAGTTTCCTAAATGTCCAGTTTTCCAAGAACTCTGTTCTCATTCAAAAAGCTTTTGGAATGTACCTTGTGTTCCAAAGCAGACTTTGATTCTGTGACATCCGGAGACCAAAAAGATAATCCAAAAAATAGGTGACCTGCTTTTCCCCCTTGGATTTAACTAGGAGCCTGCTGTCATCCTTCCTCTTCGTTCCTCGACTCAGCTGGCCGGCACGTGGGGCGCAGACAGCCCGTCAAGCCTGGCGTTGTTGCTTCTCGGTCTCACTGCAGTCAGAGCTCCGTGGTTGCCTTGGGTCTCAGGCTAGTCCAGGACAGGGAGCGTGCCAGGGGGACCAATGTAAACGTGAGGGGCTGGAATTTCCACTCTTGGGTCTGCCACAAGCCAAAAACAGTACAGAAATCTTTGGTTGTGTTGATGCCTGTGTTCAGAATGGCCTTATCTTGACCTTAATTCTGGGCTGATTAAGCCCTCTAGGGAATCTGTGAAGTCAGACCAGAATTTTCTTTATCCCATGAGGTGTCTTTATAAGGCAGCATGCTCTTTCTTGAACACCCTGTGGGTGAATAACCTTAGTAAATTAGCTGCCAGTGCTAGAACCTTCCAGGAAGAATTTTAATGAGTATGCTACGTTTGAAGCACTTTGACACGCATATTGAAAGTGACAGTTTTAACAGGAAAATGCTGTTAATCACTGTGAAACTTGATGATGCTCTGGGCATTTTAGGAAGCTTAGGTAAATTTCTCGTTTTCTTTTATTAATTATGTAACCCACATGATTTCTGTGTTTCCATTTCCATCTCTGACAGTGGTACGAGTGACTGACGTTGGCAAGCACTTACTTTAGGGCATATGCACAATCATGGTGTCTTTAACTTTTCCAGAGAAGGTGGTGATGTTTGCTTCTTCCTTGCATGGAACCATGGGAATTAGGTTTGTTGGCTAATTCATTTCCGCCATCTTCCACAGTGCAAAATAAATGTAACCTTACTTTTTAACTTGCATGCTAGGAATATGCTTTGCTCTTTAATAAGTATGCAATAGATAGTAATGTAGCTGTAGCTGGCCTTTTATTTTTTAAAGCAAGGATCTGCTCTTTATCAGACAGATCTTAAGTTAACATTTAGGGTAATGAAAGAAATGTTGCCATAGTAACCCTGTCATAGTTAGCCTTGGCGAGGGGGTTGTGTTGCATTTGGTAGGAAGGCCAGATTCCCAGAACTGGGAAGTGCCGCATGAACTGATTTTGGCATATTTTAACAAGGACTTGTCTCCAGGCAAATTTTTTTGGAAAAACAAAAAGATTGCTTTGCCTTCTATAGACTGTTCACCTTGTCTTGTTCCTTAGGGCGTGTGGTTAGAAAGGCTGTGCGTCAGAGCAGGGCCGCTTCCAAAGCCTGCGTCCTGGGCCCTGGCCGCAGGGTAGCTCAGCGCTGCGCAGAGTTGCGCTCTCTGCTGCGTGCAGCCTGAAGCTGAAGCTGGACACCCGCTGGCGTGGAGATGCCTGAGGCTTTTTAACTTTCTTCTCTTGAGACTCTTCTATATGGGTAACAAAATGAGAATTTATTTGGGTTTTTATTAAAACGTACACAATTTGCCATGAATTCTAGATTCTGATTTTTTTTAAAAAATTATTTAGTTGAGAGGCAGAGAAAGAGAGTGCTTCCCTCTGCTGATTCACTCCGTAAATGGCTGCAGTGGCTGGACAAGGGTCCCAGCTGGGAGCCAGAACGCAGTCTGGGTCTTCCAAGTAGGTGGCAGGGGCTGGTACTTGAGCCATCACCAGCTGCCTCCCCTGAACTGCATTAGCAAGAATCGGGAGTCGGGAGCCAGAGGCAGGAATTGAACACAGGTGTTTAGACGTGTTCTGACCTGTGTCTTGGCTGCCATCCTAAACACCAGCCCCACGCATTCTGATATTCCTGATAAGCACTTTTTAGGACCTCAAGAGTAAGTTCTTGGGGCCAGCCTTATGGCATAGTGGGTAAAGCTGCCGCTTATGATGCTGGCATCCCATATGGGCACAGGTTTGTGTCCTGGTTGCTCCATTTCTGGCCCATGTGTTTGCACCCCTGTACCCACATGGGAGACCTGGTTGAAGCTGCTGGCTTTGGCCTGGCGCAGCACTGGCCATTGTGGCCATCTGGGGAGTGAACCAGCAGATGGAAGACCTCTCGCTTTCTCTACCTCTCTGTGCTCTCTGTGTGTAACTTTCAAATAAATAAATCTTAAAAAAAAATAAGTAAATTCCTAAACTGGAACATGTTTAGTTGAATTGTAACCTCCTGTAATGAAGGTTATTTTAATTTTGCAAAAGGTGTGAATGCTGTATTACAAATATGTTTGAATTACTGTTATTCAGTATTGGACTTCGCATTTAATTACTAATTGAGACTGCTCACCATACTAACTTTTTTGTAGGTTATTTTGTTTGCATACTTGGCCAGGTTGGAAACAGCCATTCAGGGGACAGAGACTCGGCTATGCTTAATGATTTAGTCATTTTGAAATGTGCCAAGAAGGCAGTATTCAGTATTGAACTCCAAATACCAATTTTTTTTTTAAGTAGTGTTTCCTTTGGGTAACCAGGAAGGCAATGAATAATCGCCAAGATGGAACTCTGCTGCCGCCCCCCCCCCCCAGTGTAATAGATTATATGTGTAGCCAGTTGTAGAAAAGGAAATAGATACTTTGTGATTAAAGTTTAGGGCCCATGAGCTAAGAATAGGTGGTAGGTGTCCTGGCCACATCCATTATTGATGTGCTTAGCTTGTCCCGTTGCAGCCGGCTTTCTGTGGTGTTCTGCAGCAGCAGGACAGTTCCATTCCCTCTCGGGTACCCAGAAGCAGCACCACTAGAGCAAGTGGCATGTGTTTGCTACAAGTAGCCTGTAGCAGAGAGGAAGATGAAGAGGAGCCTAAAGTCTTTTATGTAGTTTAATTGAACCTGTTAGTAATTGGTCTGACTAGGACTTGCTGTGTTCTTAGTAAATTAATGTAGCATTTATTTAATATGGTTGTGTGTGCTGTGTGTATATAGGCACATCTAATATGTACACATATACTCCCTGCATATGTATGTATGATATATTCTTGTACACATGCAGTCTACTCTTGATTATCAGCTAAACGGTAAGCCTTTGTCCGGCTGTTTCTTCATGTTGACTTAATCCACGTGTGGCCCATAACTCAAGCCTCTTCCTGATCTGGAGCTACAGTCTGTCTTCCAGTTCATCTCAGTCCTTGCAAGAGGCCCTTTGGGTATGTCACTTCCTGTTTCCTTTTAACCAGGGATTATGTGAGCCAAAAAGATGGCTGCCTGCACTTCGATTGAGGCTGCTGGGTCTGCGTGAGGATGGGCCCCATTTCTGGCCACAGGGCAGCTATGGGAGCAGTGATGGGGAGAACTCTTAACTCTCAGAGAACTCAACTTCATACTTGCTCCAGTGACTTGGCTGGGATGTTCAGATAAGCTGATGTGCTACGGAGTACAACAGTGCATTGCAATGTTCTGTTTGCGTTTTCTGTATTACCGTGCGTCAGTGCCAGCCCAGATAATCAAGACTTGACTGTTCCTTGTCACCAGATTCTGGAAGCCTTGCCCTTTCAACTGGATTTATGTTTATTTCTGTTGTTGTGAAACCCAAAAGTAATGCAGTAGGTTTTAATTTTAAATTGTTTAATTCTTTTATGGATAAATATTTATTGTAATAAAAGTAAAAGTAAATAATTTTTAAATCCTTTTAATTGTTTTCAACTTGTCTTTCTTTGTTTATCCTTGGTAGGTTTCAAAAAGGGAGGAAAAATAATTTCCAGCCACTTGTCTTAGGGACGAATGATTATTTTAAAGCAGAAACACCAGCCTGC